ATGTGGTGTGAGGATCGATCCCAGGGCCTCACTATGCTAGACCAGCTCCACCCCTGAGCCCCAGCCCCAGCCCTCTTCTTCATTTCAGTAGTGTCTGTTGTGATGCTTCCTTTTTCATTATGAATTCTAGTAATTTGAGTTTTCTCTCTCCTTTTGGTTAGAGTGGCTAAGGGTTTATCAATTTTTTAATTTTTTTTCAAAAAAACATCTTTTGTCATTTTTTTTCAATTTTTTCTTTTGTTTCAATTTCATTGACTGATTTGAGCCCTGATTTTCATCATTTCCTGTCTTTCTCTACTTTTGGTGTTGATTTGTTCTTCTTTTTCTAGGGCTTTGAGATGCAATGTCAGTTGGTTTATTTGTTTACTTTTTATTCTTTTAATGAATGAGCTCAATGCAATGAAATTTTCTATTGGCATAGCCTACATAGTGCCCCAGAGATTTCAGTGTGTTGTATCAGAGTTCTCATTTACCTCTAAGAGTCTTTTTATCTCTTCCCTGATGTCCTCTGTTTCCCATGCATAATTCAATAGCTTATTGTTTAGTCTTCAGGTGTTGGAGTAGCTTCTATTTTTAATTTTATCATTGATTTCTACTCTCATTTCCTTATGGTCTGATAGAATGCAGGGTAAGACCTCTATTTTTGTGTGTGTGTGTATTTGCTAAGACTTGTTTTGTGGCATAACAAATGGTCTATTAAGGATCCATGTGCTGCTTGAGAAAATTGTTGATGGTTGAAATATTCTGTATATATCTGTTAAGTCTAAATTATTGGTTGTATGGTTTCTTTAGTTTTTATTTGGAAGATCTATCCTGTGATGAGAGAAGTGTGTTAAAGGCACCCAGTACTATTGTGTTGTGGTCCATCCGATTCTTGAAATTGAGAAGGGTTTGTTTGATATGCATGGAAGCTCCATTTGGGGGGACATAGATATTCATGATTGTCATGTCTTGTTGATGTGTCATTCCCTGAAGCAGTATGAAATGCCCCTCTTTATCCCTTCTGACTGATTTTGGTTTGAAGTCTACTTCATCTGATATGAGGATGGAAACCCCTGCTTGTTTACGTGGTGTGTGTGAGTGATAGGTTTTTCCCTACCCTTTCACCTTCAGTCTGTGGATGTCTTTTCCTATACATGCATCTCTTGAAGCACCATATGGTTAGGTCTTTTTTTAAAAATCCAATCTTCCAGTCTATGTCTTTTGATTGATGAGCTTAGGCCATTAACATTCAGGGCTATTATTGAATTATGGTTTGTATTCCTGGTCATTTTGTTTTATTTTTTATTTTTAATTTGACTTGGTCACTTCTTTGGTTGGCTTTTCCTTTAGTGTAGTTCCTCCCTTTGCTGGTTTTCATTTTAATTTCCTTCTCATGGAATATTTTGCTGAGGATGTTCTGTAGTGCAGGCTTTCTCATTGTAAATTCTTTTAACTTTTGTTTATCATGGAAGGTTTTTATTTCATCATCAAATTTGTAGCTTAATTTTACTGGATAGAAGATTCTTGGTTGGCATCCATTTTCTTTCAGAGCTGGGGATATGTTGTTGCAGGGTCTCCTAGCTTTGAGGGTCTGGGTTGAAAAATCTGCTGAGATATGAATTGGTTTCCTCCATATGTAATCTGAAACTTTTCTCTTGTGGCTTTTAAAATTCTATCCTTATTCTGTATACTAGGCATTTCATTATAACGTGCCTTGGTGTGGATCTGTTGTAATTTTGTACATTTGGGGTCCTGTAAGTCTTTTGTATTTGATTTTCCAATTAATTCTTCATGTTTGGAAAATTTTCTAATATTATTTTATTGAAGATATTGTGCTTTCCTTTGGTTTATATCTCAGTGCCTTCCTCTATCTCAATAATTCTTAGATTTTGTCTTTTCATGTTATCCCATAATTCTCGGAAGTTCTGTTTCTTACCATCTTCATTGTATGGTCAACTTTATTTTAAGATTGTATGTTTTGCTGATGGATTTGTGGCTCCTTGGTAGAGCACTTGCCTAGCATGTGTAACGCACTAGGTTCAATTCTTAGCACCACATGTAAATAAATGAATAAAACAAAGGTCCATTAACAACCAAAAATATACATAAAAATAATTTTTAAAAATATTATATATTTTGACTTCATTGCCTGAGGTTTTGTCTTCCAAGTGATCTCGTCTGTTGGTGATTCTTTTTATTGAATTTTTTATTTGATTTATTGTTTCCTTCATTTCAAGGATTTTATATGTGTTTTTTTTTTTTCAGAATCTCTTTTTCTTTTTTTTTTTTTAATTTTATTTTTTTATATATATATTTTTTTTAGTTTTCGGCAGACACAACATCTTTGTTTGTATGTGGTGCTGAGGATGGAACCCGGGCCGCACGCATAACAGGCGAGCGCGCTACCGCTTGAGCCATATCCCCAGCCCCCAGAATCTCTTTTTCTTGAAGTAATTTTTTGCTACCTGTATTTACTCTCTTATCCCTTTGTTAGAGTGATCAATTGTTGCCTGTATTTGCTCTCTTATACCATTCTGTGCTTTGATGATCATTTCAATTATGTGCATTGTGAACGCCTTCTCTGACATTTCATCTGTGTGCTGTCAGTGGATTCTATAATTGCAGCATCTTGGTTTGTTTGAGGCACTTTCTTCCCTTGTTTTTTATGTTGTCAATGTGTCATTGTGGATCTGAGGTGTTAGAACTTTTACCCTATAAATTTGTAGTGTCTCTGCAGGTTACCGATACCTCACCTTTAAGTGGGAGATCAATATTTACAGCACCCAGTGCAAACAATGTGAAGCCTTAAATCAAATAGCTCCTATTTAGACAAGTATAGTTTTGTAGCAATAAACAGAAATGTGTTCAGTTAATATCTATGATAAAATAGTAGGTTTGCATAAGGTCTCCAATTTCTAAAGGTGGACAAAGAGAGAGAGCAGGGTGTGGGGATGTGGGGTTTATGAAGTCAGAGGTGAGAACATGGAGGTATGAAGCCATAGGAAGAGTGAAAGAGGAATCAAGAGAAGCAGGCATCAGGGATGCCTCTGGTGTAACCAAGCCTGCAGGGACCTTGGTGATGGTCTTCCAGGTCCTGGCTGTTGTCTCTATATGGAAGTGGGCCAGGAAAGCCACATGTTGGTAGATTGGGGTTGTATCACTGCCCTCCTCCGGGCATGCATGATTACTCTCCTTAACTGCTTTTTGACTAAGACTTCTGCCCCCTTCAGCCCTAGGTTCCTCTGTCTTTCTTCTTCTCATGCCAGGTGACCTTGGAGGGACTGCAGCTATTTTGGGAACCTAGATAGAAGGCAGTTGGAGAAGGAGCCTCCTTTCATTTGGACCCCAGTGCTGCTATTTCCATGGCTCCCTGCCCCTTCCCATGCAGTGAAGGGAAGCCAGCTGTTTTGACACGGGGATGGCTTCCAAGAACATTGCTTCCACTCTGAGTACCAACATGAAGGGGCAGGGCCAGGGCTCTTGAGATGCAAGCAGAAACTATGATCGCCAGTACCAAAAACCACAGCTATGAAATCAGGAGACGTCCACTTTGGACCACAAGGAGTCACCAAAACAACTAGAAAAACTAGGTGAAGTACCTGAACCAACAGTTTCCAGGTATCCAATAGTGGGCAGCATATTGCTTTGGTTGCTTAGAGAAGAGACAAATGAGGTGTGTCCTGTGAGTGCCTCATCTAGAGGCAAGACCACGGTGTGGGAGGGGACCCAAGCAGAGACTCTGATGGGATGGGGATGTCTCGAATTCTGACCTTCCAGAATGGATACTGGATGCATGGAACATTCAATAGAGACCTCAAAAGGGCCACACTTTACAGGAGATCTTAATGAGCCCTAATGGAGAGGCCACTCATCCACCCAGCAAAGCTTAAAATCAGACCTCAGACAACCAATGGATCTACAAGCAACTCAAGCCTGCCAGGAAACTCTTGAACAAGGGCATCAGCCTCACATCCAGCTTTTGGTCAGAAACCACAAGGCATGCAAAACTGTCCCCCATACCTGCAAGTGGGAAACCTTGTCAAGGAGCATCAAGGCAGAAAGGCTGCACCCAGTCCCTGGGACCCCTCTGCCAGACCCCCGAGTGCTTGGCAGGGGTCAGGCTCTGGAACAAGGCCTCCTGAAAGCCACCCCCCAGCACTGAACAGGGAGAGGCAGCTGAGGAGCGAGGACATGTTATTTGCCTCCAGTTGCAGAAACTCCTTCCTCATTAGCCAGAGCATTCAGGTAGCTCAGAAGAGCAGCGTCCTGCAGAGGTGAAGGTGTGCTGTGCCAGGTTGAAAGTGCACTCCCCAGTCCTGACTGCCGGTTGCTGTAAAGAGACTTCTCTTATCCCTGGCATAGTGTGGGTGCTCAGTACCTTGCCACTTTATGATGATTGTATTGGGGGGTGGGGATGTGGCTCGGTGGTACAGCGCTTACCGAGCATGCCCTGGGTTCGATCCCCAGCACCAAAACCAAGTTATGATTATTGTATTTGTGGGGAATTCTTTCATTCCTCAGACCTATGAACTCTCACAAGTGAGGATTTGTCACCCACACCCAGTTAAACAGAAGTCCTCACTGGTCAAGTACCTACTCACCCAGCACAGCTTGTTGATGCTCATTCTCTTGAGAGCTCCCAAATCATGTTAAGTGTCAGGCCCGAGAGGATGTGGATCTACCTCATGTGGGGTGTGGACTCCGACTCAAACCCTGGCCTCCTCTCTTTACCCTGCTATGACCACACAGTCCAGGGACTGCAGGGCCCAGGCCCACATGTGTCTGAATGATTTCCACAGTCCCTGTCTTGTGTCGGACAAGGTACCCTGGAGACCAGTAAGAGTAGAGAAGCATGCCACCTGCCACAGGGCTGTCCCTTGGCAGTCCTCACGCACCCATCACGAAACCACATGCCAAGTGCCTTGGGGAAGCCAGAGTTAGCACAAGACAGGGCTTTTGCCTACCAGGGCTGCTTGGCTGTGTGCTACTGTCTCTCACCTGCTTTTTTCTATGACCAGGCTATGTGGCATCCATCATGGGCAGAAGGAGGCCTCTGCCCAGGATCCATGCACGGGACCAGCAGCTCCGGGCACAAGCAGAACGACAGGCAGTGAACTTCATGGTGCAAGGTACTGGAGCCCAGCCGGCTGCTGCCCGCCTCTCCTGTGCCCTATCTCAGCACCCTTGTCCCTTGGGCATGTGGCGGCTGCAGAGCCAGGCAGCACCCTCCAGACTACCATGGTGCACTGCTCCTGTAAACCCTCCTGAGGAACCCCGTAGCCCTACCTGGTGGTCTGGCAGTACTGTCGGTGGCATGACTGTCACGGGGTCATCTTTATAATTAGGATTCTTCCCTCCAGCTCCACTGTCCCCCATACCTACAAGTGGGAAACCCAGTCAAAGAGCATCAAGGCAGAAAGGCTGCACCCAGTCCCTGGGACCCCTCTGCCAGACCCCCGAGTGCTTGGCAGGGGTCAGGCTCTGGAACAAGGCCTCCTGAAAGCCACCCCCCAGCACTGAACAGGGAGAGGCAGCTGAGGAGCGAGGACATGTTATTTGCCTCCAGTTGCAGAAACTCCTTCCTCATTAGCCAGAGCACTCAGGTAGCTCAGAAGAGCAGCATCCTGCAGAAGTGAAGGAGTGCTGTGCCACTGAGCTCCACACTGGCTGCCCGCGTTCCTCAGGGTCCTGAAACAGAACTCTTTGTGTCCACAGGCTCTGCTGCAGACCTCTGTAAGATGGCCATGATCCGCATCTTCTCTGCAGTGGCCACTTCCCCCACCCTGACGGCCAGGTCAGTGAAGACAGTCAGGCCACATGTTAGCCAGCCTTTCCCAGGGTTTGGATGGGAAGTGGCTGTTCTATGCAAGACCCCCATGCCTGCTCCACCTGTGGGACCTCCATTCTGGCTGCTCAGCCAACACAGAGCAAAGGACCCCTTGACCCAAACCCTCAAGACTCATAGCCTGGCCTCTAGTGGCTGGGGCCCAGCAGCATCAAGCAGAAGTGCTATCCTCAGTCCCTACTCAGGGCCTGAAGGGAGGCACAACCTGAAGGCCCCATCTGCAGCTGCCCCCTCCCACATCCCGGCCGGTCACAGTCCCACAGCAGGACCATGGGGATGCCATGCTTGCCCAGAACCCATGCTCAGGTGCACCTCAATGGCAGGTCTATTACAGCCACCCCAGCCACGACTCTCTCAGGTCTGTCTCTGTCCTGAGTTTTGAAGTGGCAAGAGGATAAGGAACTGTCACCCCAGCTCTCTCCCACTGGCAACTGAAGCCTGAACGTGGCTACAGGTGACCACCCAGACATCCCCTCTCTTTGAGGAAAATGGACTCCCCTCAAGAATCCCTGAACCCCTTCAGATGACTAAGCCACATCAGCCCCTCAGAGGGGTGGTGGTGTCAGATCCCAGAAGGGATTCACTTTACATGCTCACCCTAAAGACCTAGGCTATCCACTCTGGGCATGTGGGGTGGCCTCTGCAGGCCAGAGTGCAACTGTGGCTGCCCAGGTGGGTCATGCCTCCTCTGCTGGGAGGGGAGCCAGTGGCAGGGTGGGCAGCTGCTTCTCTAGATCATAAAATGTGAACTGGTCTCAGCAGTCTGCACTCTGCAGCCCCACGCACCCCACCTCTGGGATGTAGAGACCTGCTTTCAGTGGCCTTCCATTTCCACCCAAGCTCAGTTTTCTCTTGGCTTCTAATGTTGTTTTATGTGCTAAAGAATGACTTCTTCTTTATCTGAGATCTTTCATCTTTCTTTAAAAACCTGTCTCCTTTATTACTTCAGATACTTTCTTTGCTCATTTTGACTTTTGAGCCAGTGTTATTTTGCTGATTTCAGCAACTTCACGTAGGAGAGGATACTGTGGGGTGGCGCCCCACAGAGTTGAGGGCAGGAGCCTGTCCCCAGCCCCCAGACCCTGCTGGCTACTCCCCTTTGCAGCCCTGCACTGACACTTCTTCACTGGGGAGGAGTCATGAAGGAGGGCTGTCAGGAAGACAAGGGTGCCTGAGATCCTAGCTGAGCCTCCCCATGACCCTGCTGACTCCCACGCTGACTGGACGGTGCTCTGACTCCTACAGTGATTGGGGTGGTCAATGGGTGGAAGCAGAGTAAGCAGATATTGCCCCACCTCACATCTCCATCACCTCTTGCTGCCATCTGCTGCCTCCCCAGCAAGCACATACTAGCCAAGGTTTCCCTCTGGGTTTCCTGTAGTTCCTCCTCTGCTGGGATGTGGAAGTCCTGCCCACTCCCAAAGTCTCTCACGGTGGACTCCAGCTTCTCAGAGGTGTGAGTGGCCTGCAGTGGTTTTCCACCATAGTGGAAGACTAGAAAAATGGTCTTGTTTTTGCTGCATGTAGAATTGGTAGAAGAAGTTGTCATGTGAAAACTTGGCATCTTTGGTGATAGGACCTCCTGCAAGCTGAGCACAGGCTATTAGGGGTTTAACTGAACGAAGGCACAGCAAGATGTGACTCATCCCAGTTCACCAGAGCTAAGCCAGCACCAGGTCCCCCGTGCCTCCTTGGAGGTGGATTCGAGCAGGGGCACCACACAGATGTATTCTCAGGAGGAACCCGCAAGGGGGCTCAGTGCCACTAGGCATGCCCCTTGGAAGGGAGCTGCCTCTCAAGCCTGGGACAGGGACATGAGGTGGGGCCCTCTGGAATGTTCCCTGAGGGAGCCTGGGTCTGTTGGCCTCAGACAGGCTGTCCAGATGCAGATGCAGATGCAGCAGCCCCACCTTCTCTCAAAGGCAGCGCTCTCCCCTGACCCCGGGCACGGGAGGTCTGAGCCTGTGTTCCTCTGCTCCTCATCCACCCTGAGCCACACATTCTGCTGACTCCTGTGCCCCAGTTTCCAGTGAGAAACGCGGCAGTGTCTCCATCCCATGCTGTGAGGGTGATGTGTGAGTGACTGACAACCGCACCTATTCTTAGGTCCTGCCAGACCAGCAGCTCAGATCTCACCATGTGATTTCAAAAAGTGTGAAACTTTCTGCCAAATCTGGAAAGATTCACAAGCACCTCTTCTGAGGTTTCTGCCAGTTTGAAAAGTAAGCCCCAGGGAGCCAAAGACCCTGGCAGACTCTTGGTCCCTACCGTGTACTGCCAGTATGACTCCTGGAAAGGCAGAGTCCATGCTCTGACCAGAGGCTGCATGAAAAAATGCAGGTGCACCGCTGAGGGTGCCCTGCAGAGTGTGCACCCAGTACTCGCATGGCCCAGCCCAGTGTGAGTCTGCAGATGCACAACCATGAGGACATGTGCTCGGCCCTCAGGAACGTGGCACAGCTACAGCAGCTCAGACTCCCCAACTTGACTTTTTCTCCCATAATGAGAATCCAGGACACAGTAGTTGCTGATTGTTTCAGAAGCTCAGGACAGCAGGACCAAAGGTCCTCTGGCTACTGGTTTCTTTCCTCTTGGTGCCACAAGGGAGGTAGCTGCTCTGACCACCACAACACTTTCCAGGCCAAAGGAGAAAGTGATGACCAAAAGAGCTGAGGCAGCCCTTTCAGGGCCTTCCTAGAAGTTCTTGGCACACTGCATCTAAGGGAGAGCTTGGGAAGACAGCTCCATCTCCACCCACCCAACAGCAGAGAGAGGAGAACAGAAAGAGGCAGCCACCACAGTCTCTGCTGCAGAGTGCTGATGGAGTCCCCCTGCCCAGATCTTAGAGAGTTGCTCCTCCTCCCAGCCAGCGTCCGCCACCACATGCCCGTGACTGCTGCCCAGCAGGGCTTCACACAGCTCCCCTGTGCAGCCCCAACTTTCCAGTACCACGTGGGGGTGCAGCGCAAGCAGCAGGGGAGGCAGGATGGGAAGGGATCACTGTCGTTCAGGGCTCACACCAGGAGGAAGCTGAGGCTGTAAAGGGCAGAACACTGGGGCCCCATGTGCCTCCCATCATCCCCGGGGGGCTTCAGGCCCTCACTGATTGTCCTGAGTCACCTCCACCATGTGTCCCTTCCTTGAGTGGGCAGGTCCAGACACCACTGTCCATCCACAGGAGGGGGTTGCACTGAGTCTGCATGCCACAGCCCTGGGCTGTGAGTCCCAGAGGATTCTGATGCTGTCTGCGGAGGAGCATAAGCCAACCCGTGCTGCCCTCCAAAGAGCATGTGGGGTTACAGAAGTTGGTGCAGTTTTTGTACCAACATGGAGCTGTAGGAGCCAGCTGCTTGGACAGGACCACTCCACCCCTTGCCCTGTGCACTTATGCTCCTGTCCCTTCTCTCCACTTGAATCTGTAAAACCTGCCAGAGACCACTGCCCAGCAGTTCATCACCCCCAACCCCTGCCAGGTCGTCCTGGCTTCCTGTCCATACTGATGCAGGGAGGGCTGAGGAGGTGTGGGCTGAAGCTGCCCTGGAGCGTGGCCTGTGGTGGAGAGTGCAGCCCTGCTCAGGCTGCTGGGAATGGCCACCCCGTCCTGCACCGCTGGAGGGCTCAGGGGTCCATGAGACAGGCTGGGAGCTGAGGGGCACCCAGGCTGTCCAGGAGTCTCCACACAGGCGCTGTCACCAGGCAAGTGCATGTGCAGTCCTGGCCAGGCCACCCCAGATGCCCCCTGTCATTGTAATGGGGGGACTTGGAAAGATTTTTAAATTTTTGCACGTTGAATTTTGATGTATTTTGTTGAATATTTATTTGTTTGCCTTCAGAAACAAAATTTTAAAAGATTGCCCCATCCCATTGCTGAGGGTCTTCACTGCTCACAGCAGGCCCCATACTGTCCTTTTAATCCACCACAGGGCCTCCACCCCCAGCCCAAAGAGGGCTTTCTCCATCTGGGCCAGTCCTCAGCCAGGGGCTGGACAGCTCAGCAGTCACTTCTATGGAGCCTTCTCCCTCTCTTCCAGCTCCTTCTCCCAGCTCCCGGAAGCTATTCTGGTGACTGTAAAGTGACCCCAGGCAACAGTGCCCAGGGTGGGTCCTCTCCACTTCGCCACAGAGCAACCTCTTTGGGGCACATAGTGCCAGACAACCTTCCCTGAATCCTGGAGAATGAGCCCATGTCCCCACAAGGCAGTGTCTAGGCTACCCAGGTAACTGTTGCCCCCTTCCAGGTTGGTTGCCCAAATTCACGATGAGCTGCTGTTTGAAGTGGAAGACACACAGGTCCCCGAGTTCGCAGGTAAACCTGGGAGAGCAAGAGGTGCTTTCTCTCACACAGTTAAAGAGAGACCTGCCCTGTCCTCTGACTGACCTTCCATGGACCTTTCCCTAGCAGGAAGGGGCCCAGCTTGGTGTGGCACCCTGTAAAAGCCCAGGTGGGCGTCCAGTGCTGTAGTGGAGCTTCCAGAGCATTCCACAGACACCAAGGCTGGGCCTCCACCTGCCTGGCGGGGACGGTCTGGACGGCTGGTGGCCCAGGCCCTGAGGCTAGTCACAATGCCAGCACCACAAAGCTGCCCTCACAGGTGTGGTGGTCACTTAAGACTTCACCCAAAAGCAGCAGAGATCATGGTCTGTGCCCAGGCTGCTCTCAGCCCCAGAGCCATGGCCAAAGCTGGAGTCGGGAGCATGGCACCTGGCCAGCCTGATTGGGGAGGGTGGAGGTCAGTGCAGAGCAGTGTTTTGGGCTGGAGGGCAGGACTGAGGGGCTTCATACTGTATCCTGGGCCATGAACCAGCCACAGCAGCCATGTGGGGATCAAGGCCCCTAGACCAGCCAGTTGGGGTGACCCTGTGGATGCAGGAAACAATTAGGGAGCTGGGGAGGGGGTGCTGGGCAGGACTCAGCCTGAGCTTCCTGTCTGTGACTCCGGAGCCCCTGAGGTGAGGAGCTTGGCCAGGGCTTGCCTGGCAGGCTCAAATGGCTCTGCGTTCCTGTTCTAGCTCTTGTCAGGGGAACCATGGAGTCCTTGCAACAGATCCAGGACCCGGAGCTGCAACTGCAGGTGAGAAGGGCACACCCCTGCCCAGCCTCCCCCACTGTGTCCCTCACTGTCAAGAATCAGCCCAGAGTGGAAGGGGGAGTGCCAGACTGCCACCATGGCACAGGAAGGCAAGGACAGAGGACCGGCCCCTTGCCCTGCATCCCAGGACTGCTGCCAAGAAGCCCCCTTCCCTGCTGGGTGGTTGGCTGTTGCCTGGTGAGAAGCCAGGATGAGGGTCAGCTGCTCCCCCCAGCCTGGGACTCTCCATCACCCCTGTGTCCAAACCTCTTGCCTGAGGCTCACACTTACTGGGGGTGTAAGTGCTGGGGTCCCCACCTACCCCAAGCATGTCCCTAGAATATGCCCAAACCTAGTATCAGCCTGCTCCTGCTTGGGCACCACTTGGAGGCAATTCTGGGTCCTCACCAGGAAAAGACTGTAGTGCAGGCTCCCCAAGAGTGATGGGGACAATTGAAGGAGAAGTAATGAGGACGCGGGGGCAGGGTCCCAAGTCTGCACAGAGTTCCCAAGTAAGGTAAGAGACACATTCCTGTCACTAGTGAGGATCCAGCCCAGTGGAACGGGCTGCAGAGGGGCTTTCCAGACCTCCTCCCAGAGCAGCCTCTGCTCTGCTGCCAGGCAGCCCCCTGGGGGGCCCTCCTGGGAAACCTCCCCCTCCCATAGGATGTGCCACTACACCTTCAGAGCTCAGGGACTCACCAAGGCCTCCCCTCTCCCCACTCTTCAGAGGAGAGGGGCACCCAGAAGCAGCCCAGGTACTTTGCCCAGCCAGGAAGGGAACTTATGCCCTCTAGTAGATCCACAGAAGCCTGTGTCTGTGGCAGGCAGAGAAGTGGGGCTACCAGACAATGGAAGCCGGGAAATCCCCACCCTGGCTTCCAGAAGGAGCCCTTCTAGAGCACCAAGCTGTGGGGGACCACTGGGGCTACAGCTGGTAGCTATGGTAGGGCCTTGGGCAAGAGAGTCCACACAGAATCGGCCACCCGTGAAGAGTCTGCTGTCCCCCTGGCTCCTACCCAACTGGGTGATTTCTGGGGGTGATGGGCACAGATTGCCCCAGGACACACCTCACCCACCCTAGGGCACCTTGCCTGGAGGCCCTCCCTACCGGCTGCATGCTGCACCAAGGACTTAGGGGACATCTCTGTCAAGGCCAAGGCAGCACCATGGGCAGGGGGCTGTGTGTGGTATGGACCTGTTACTGGGAAGACGAGTGTGCATGTGCACAGATATGTACGTGTGTGCACAGCTGGGTGCTGCCATGGCTGTGTCCGGTTGTGTCCCGGGATGTGTGGACCCCTCCATTCTGCTTATGGACCTGGGAGGCGTCTAGCTAGCCCAGGCCCAGAGCTCACTTCTGATTGCCACCCACAGGTGCCCCTAAAGGTGAGCCTGAGCGCCGGCCGTTCCTGGGGACACCTGGTTCCACTGCAGGAGGCCCTGGACTCTTAGCTCAGCCTGAGTCACACCGAGTCTCCCAGCAACAGTCTGGCTGTCCAGGTCGCTGGCTGGGCACCTCCTGGGCCTGTGCATTTTCCCCTTCATTTTGTCTGTAGCCCCAGGCAACAGGAGGAGGAGGGAACTGGTCTCCACCAGCCCATTGTGTGGCCTTTCCCAAGGTCACCAGCGAGTACTTTGAGCTCCTGGATGAATACAGGCCCATTAACCCTTTGGGGCTGGGATGGCTGGGATGTCCCCAGGAGTAAACACTTTGTGTGAAGCTTATCTTCCTGGTCTGAGTGAGTTCTTCCCATAGGTAGGAAAGGCCATGTCCACAGCCAGAGGCAGGGCTGAGGCCCCAAACTGGGGCGGCCTGGACACAGCCCAACCCTGTTGGTTGTCCACTCAGGCCCTGTCGTGCCTGCTCCAGACGCAGGCTGCAGGCCAGTGGGCACCAGCACAAGGAGCCAGCCTGTGGGGACAGCACCTGAGGCTCTAGACAGAAGGCCCGGCTTCCTCCCACACCTCTGGGCCCACAGCCGGCAGTGCAGCCGGATGTCCCCAGAGTGTTACCTGAGCCCTGGCAGAGCTGGGGGCAGCCCCTGACCCTGGTCTTGCCCTCCTGGGAAGGAATGTGCAGGGTCGGATTCCTCTTGACTCCCATGACACGACAGGGAGCTGGGCATGGCAGGGCCAGGGAAGAGGAGAGGAGGGACCCCATGAAAAGTTGCCTCAGAGATCGGTTTTGGGGATCCTCCAGGTTACAGGGTCCCTCTGCCAACAGGGTGGCCTCCTGTGCTAGGGTCTGACTGAGCATAGGTCTGTGTCCACCCACTATCCCTGGTGCCCCTCCATACCCTGCTCTTTATCCCTGGTCCCCAGTGCTGCCTGCAGCCCCCTGAGGCCCCTCCTCACACCCTGTGACATCTCCCTCCCTTGTAGACACTGGGGCTCCACCTCCCCACCTGACGGCCTTGGCGCCCACCCTCCTGATCCAGATCTCACTGTCCCTCAGAGGTGCTGGGTGAGCAAGAGGGCAGGCAGGCAGGGCCCAGGCCTATGGTGGCACTACCCACGGGCTGCCAGGGACACTGGGACTGAGAAGAATCCAGGACAAGGAGGCCTCACCTGTTGGGGGCTACCGACTCAGGAGAAGGGCCAAGACCCCAAGGGTTTGCAGATCCCAGCCCAGGGCCCAGAGCCAGAAGACAGCAGTGGGGCCCCCTGGCTTGTAGTTCCCCAGGGGGGGAGGGAGGGGGCGCAAAGCTGCCTCTCAGCTGGGGCAAGTGTTTGATGGGTTGGAGGCGACTGCTTGGAAGGCCCACCCCACCCAAAGCCCAGCTATCACCTCTCTGCACCTCCCAGGCTCAGGGGTAGTGTTCAGGGCCTGCTTCCAGGTCGGGTCAGCTGGCAGCGGCAGCCCAGCCGTGGGGGAGGGAGTCCAGCAGCATGGAGTCCAGCGTCGCCAGCCTCGGAGCCACCTCACAAAAGCACAGAGCCAGGTTCCTTCAACTCTGGTTTTATTGAAAAACAGCAGCATTGGGGGCCATGCAGGCGGGGACACACACCCACTCAGGCCCCCAGCCTGTCTCCTTGGGAACTTGGCTTGTTGCCTGGCCCTGGGGCTGTTTGGCACTTCCCGGGTCTCAGGACACCTCCGCCCCATGTGGGCTCACAGTACAGCTTCAGGAACAACCACAACAGTAGACCTGCACCTGGACCAGGCCCAGCCAGTGTCCTGTCCCAGGGTCTCCAACTCCTCTGCCCTGCCCTCAGCAGAGAGGGAGGTGGCCAGAGAAGCGGGGTCATGAGAGGCTCACCAGCCCACAGGGCTGTGCTACATTCACATGGATCCGGGCCTAGAGGAGTGGGCACAGCAAGGGACGACCACAGGACCCTGCTTCTCACCACAGCAACCTCCCAGAGCAGGAAGGAGGCTCTTCCCACCGGTGCCCTCTCCACTGCTACACATGTGCACACACATTCACACGCACACGTGTGCACACACTTACAAGGACATGCCCAGGCACACACTCATAGACATGAATGTGTGCACATGCACACAAACATGTTCACAGTCACACACGCAACATGAAGATGTTCACACATACACATGCACACCTGCAGGTGCCCGTGTGGACACACATGCTCATGTGCACATGTACACATGTGCTCACACATGCACACCTGCTCAGAGATGCTCGTGAACACACGTGCTCCCATATATACAATACACATGTACCCATACACTCCTGTGTGTGCTTGCACACACACACTCATGCACATGCTCACACATACATAAGCGCACATGCACAAAGACAGGAATGCACGTTCACATACACAGGTACACTCCTTTAAAACGGCTAATTATTGCTGTGTGTTTTTTTTAAATACATCCAACAATGGTATGTCAGGGCTCATCCTCACCCAGGCCAGGGTAGCTCTGTGGACACGTCACCACTGGGAGCAGAGATGGCGGCATCAAGGAACACTGCGCTCCAGGGTCTGCTCCACACCTGGCCTCAGCTCATCCCTGACATTTTTGTCCCAGGAGTCACCTGCAAGAACATGGCCCGAGACCAGAACTGACCCCCAGGAGCCACCTCCAACAGACACAGCAGGTCAGCAGGGAGCAGACAGGACCAGCAACAGGGCCCACTGCGGCCAGAGGCAGCGGCTCCCCAGGCACCCACAGGAAGGTGGTCCTATGGTGCCCACACAGCCCACAGCCTGGCTGGGCAGCCACCTTCAGTCCCCAAGAAGTCCCATGCCCTGGCAACGCCCAGAAACCCACATTCCCGGGACTCTGGCCCCAGACACAGCCTTGTAATCCAGTCCCATGGATTTGGGGACTTGGGGCCACTGGAGAGAGGCAGGCAGGGCAGGGGCAGTGTGCCCCCTATAGGCTAGAGACGACCCCTATAGCCCAGAGAGCTTCCTTGGTACCTGGCAGACTGCCCAGAAAGCTCACCTTGGGGTGTCCCCAGCCCCATCCCTTCTAGCTTCAGACTTGCTGTCCACAAGACCTCCCAGCCAGAACCCTCTCCCAGAGCTAGCCGTCTACCCTCTCAGACCAGGCTGGCCCCATCCCTCAGCTTCTCCAGTCAGAGGTAGTATCACAGCTGCTGCCGTGCCCAGGGTGGTGCAGCAGAAACCAAAACTGGGCATGGGGGGACGGGGGACAGGAGGGTAGGCCATGATGGCTGCGATGGCTCCAGCCCTCACACTCAGAGCCCCCATGTGCTGAGGCACATGTGGGTGAAATGATTGCCTGGTCACCCACCTTAGGGGCTATCTGTCTGCACAGATGTGTGCCTGGGCAGAGGGAGCTGCTGCACACCATAGGTTTGTCTAATGCTGATGTTCTGGAACATTCTACTTCCACCTTTCACCCTCCCTACTCCAAACCAGTCTTCCAAACACACAACAGAAATCCCAAGTATCCAGACCCTGAGCACAGGGCCTTCCTGTGGGAATGGCCAAAGGCATGTTAGCCTCCCCCAGGCCTTTCCAGGCCAGGAACGTGGGTGCCAGCCACCTAAGGTGGGCAAGGCCTGGGGGAGGAGGACAGCAGGCCAGCAAACTCAGGGGAGCCACACTGGACACATGGCAGCCAGGCCCAGGAGGGCCTCCACAGAGGTAGAAGATACATCAGAATCTCTACAAACATATAAAATTCATGTCAGTGCACATTTGCGGAGCAGTCACCGCTCAGGCTGGAGGGATAAGGCAGGTGGGGAGAGGCCCAGCCTCCAGCTTGGAGGGGCAGGAAACCTGCCCACAGCCTTCCAGACCTGCGGAGCTGCAGTGGCCTGATGAGGGGGCTCTGTCCCAGTGCAGCCTGAGCCTGCCCTCCTCCTGCTGCATCTCTCCCAAGTCCTGGCAGCAACCCAGGGCACCACAGAACAGGCAAGAGCCCAGAAAGCGTCCCTGCAACCCACTGGGCAGTGCAGCCAGGAAGACGTTCCCTCAGCAAGCCTGGGGTCACCAGGTGAGGAGGACACATCCCTCCCCCAGGACCCTCTGAGCCTCTGGAGTGGGGGAGGGCTGTGAGCTCACTCAGCTCACCACCAAGGAGACACTGGCTGCCCCCGTCCCCAGGCTCTGCCCTGGCCTGGGAGAGCCCCAGCACCCCCATCCCGTGCCCTGAGCCCAAAGACTGCAGGCTCCCGAGGCACAGGACAGGAGAAGCAGGCGGAGCTGCCCACGAACCATATACTGACTCCACCACGCCCTGCCTCCTGTGCCCCAGGTCTCAGACCAGCCGGCAGCCCCAAACGCCCCCGTAAGACCAGCCCAAGACCAGCCCCAGCAACCAGACCAAACAGAAAGAGGAAAAGGCACGACTGTTTGTTTTCCATTTTGCTAAAACACTTTACGTCTGTCTGTATAATCCAGGTTAACAAAATCTGAGAGCTGCAAGAAAATAGGGGCCGATTTCTGTACAGTCTACAAAACTCCCATCCCCGAGTGGGGACCGGGCGCCACCAGGGAGGAATGTACAGGGGAGATCGGGGTCTGTACAGTGTTCTGCAAATGCCTCAATTGCTAACAGGACAAAAGGCCCCTCGGGACGTCCATCCATCCATTTCTAAGAACGTGGCCTTGGGGACCTAGCTCTGCGGCCTGCCCCACTGCCACTCCTCCTCCCCCTCCAACCCCATAGAGGTCTGAGTGGGCCTTTATACCCCTCTCGCCACCAGAGCCTGGTCCAGGCTGCCACAGGGGCACTTCCAGTAACCACCTTTCTCCCCCATCCCAGGCCATCGCCACTGGGCCAGTCCCCAAATGGAACCTCACCTGGCCCCAGGACCCACCGCCCCTCATGCAGCAGCGCCCAGCTCCTCCTCCTGAGGCTGAGGGCTCACCCTGCCCCTCAATCCTGCATGCCAGGGCTGGAGGGGCAGCCTGGACCCTGCTCACCACCAGGAATGGTCTTTAGGGGGAAATCACATTAAATTAGAGTCTCCCTCCAAATTTCAAACCGTGGAAGCCTCCATCGACCCGGCCACCCACCCCCATCCAACGGGGCCAGAAATAGTGCATGTGCTAGCACCACACGGACGTGTGTCTGAAGGTACAAGCTACCGTTTGTCCCAAGAATTAAAGTCATGCAGAGTGCTATTCTGTCTAAGTAACTTATTAGAAAACGGATTGGTTTCAGGCTGGGAGAAGCTGTGGCTGGGTATTGCCGGCAGCAGCCTGGGCTATAAGATTCACAGGGCAGACCCTGGTGGACAGCTGAGGCAGGAGGGCCTCAGGCAGCTGGGAGAGGCCACCTGATC